AAGATAAAGTAGAACAATGGATAGTGAAATTGTATCCACAACTTATATACAATGCCCCTCATTTGTAGCAATGCGTAATAAAAGAAGGAAAAAACGAACAAAAAACTTTTTATTGTGCTAATTTGTACGTTAGCACACTATCTACATCATCTGTTCATTGCTGTATTTCAACATCTGCTGTTAATGGTTGTAATTCTAGAGTGTTTTTGGAGTGTGAAACTGAAAATATTGATTTGCCCATTGATTGCAGGTAAAATGAGTTACCCATAATTGGTAAATCAATTTTGCAGACACGTGGAACAAATGGAAACCTGTGAAAAGCCTGCAATATCCCATGGAAATTTGGCAGCTGTATTTAGCTTCGCAATGCATAGTGAAGTCGAAATAGGCTTGTCATTTCAAATACGTACTGTATGTGCACTGGAATTTCAGAACAAGTGTTGAAGAGTTTTATAGGGGCAATTGAATGATACTCGATCTTCACTATTACACATAACGTTGAAATGACTTTCTTTTTACTTCTCTCTATGAAAGTATGTTTGTGATATGGTTTATTCTTTATAGATAAAGTGTACCTCTTCTCCGAGCTTTATTGATCAACCATTTCATGGACAAAGGGTAAACAAACATTATTCCAACTTTTTGGGCAACAGTTTACCACTCTCAATCCTACACTCCACATTTGCTCTGTACTGAAATAATCCAAAATTTCTATCATTGGCCTTAAGAATATTTCCATTTATATAAATCTATTATATTCATTAAAAGGTGAGCAAATAAGAGTTTATGAAATTTTCTGTACAGAGGAAATGGGACGGGATCTCGCAAGAAATGTCACAGTGTTGCTAACCTGTGTTTGATTGATCGCAACTTAAAAATTCATGAATTTCTCATGTACATTTGCGCAAACTTTCGCTGTCCCGTTCCTCTCATTTTTCAGCTTCGTTCAAAACCAACCTAATTTCAGAATGGACTTCACCTTTAAAAACTCACAGATACTTGATTGATTTCTGAATCCTGAGAGCCACCTTTGTTTTTATGTGTAGTTGAGTCCTGGTTTCTATACATTGTTCATTTGTTATTATCTGAACTTTGATAATAAAATGTCTGTCTTACTCTTTTGTTAGCCATTAAGCTATTACAAGGAACTATAAACTACTTTGATTGTCTGCATCAAAGAAGATAGTAATTGAAACTCGTAATAGTAATTTCATTGTGAAAGTCTTGTGCTTCATAAAAAGTATTGTGGTTCTTGCTTATTATTTGTTTAAATATTATTTAAAGAGAATAAATATGTATTCTTTCCTACATAAAAAGGCAGATATTTCAGATTTATCTAAGTTCTAGCCTCTATTCAAGTTGACACTGAAGTTCTTCATGGAGGTGATCCAACATTTGCTCCTGTGACGATTGCTTCAGGCTTTATTTCATCAAAATTATATGGCTGCGGTTAGGACTATGAAAAGGGTTGCAATTGGTTTTTAGGTTAGGTTTAGAGTTAAGGTCATGGTTAAGATAATGATTATGGTTGCAATTGGTTTTTAGGTTAGGTTTAGAGTTAGGGTTATGATTATGGTTGCAATTGGTTTTGGGGTTAGGTTTAGGGTTAAGATTAGGATTAGGGTTGTAATTGTTTTTAGGTTAGGTTAAGAGTAAGGGTTAGGGTTAGGGTTAGGTTTGCTGTTGGATCCGGGATTGAAGAGATGTAGGAAATGGACAATTGTCTCACAGCATGTATCATAAAACCATCATGAACGGTGCTTCAAAATATTCATAATAATAATAATTCTAGAAAATGAATTGTCGTCAAGAAAATGTGTCCATGAAAGATATCTAGATCTATAATGTGAGACCATCAAAGCAAGATATTTTTAATGTGAGGAAGGGAAGCATATCGTCCTTGTTTTCACGAAGTGACGGTAGAGAGGAAAATCGTAACGCAAAGTGAATGCAATTTTTTTTCACTACCGTCACTTCGTGAAAACAGCGACGATATTTTCTCCCTCCCCTGGCCCTCGATATGTGAAGGAAATTCAATAATAAGATACGTGAAGGGTATTTGTTCAGGTTTGTTGGTTGGCCGTGACCATTTTACTCCTATTTTTCTCATATTTTTCTCGTATTTTTTGTGAGCTCTTCCTATCTGTCTCTGTACCTGTCCCTCTGTCTGTCTGTCTGTATGTTTCTCTCTGTATCTTTATATATCTCCCCTCTCAATTTCCTCTCTCTGTTGTTAATTCTTCTTCTTCTCTAACTCCCCCCCCCCCTCTCTCTCTCGCTCTCTCCCCTCTCTCCCCCTCTCTCTCATCTCTCCTCTCTTTCTCTCATTTCCCTCCTCTCTCTCTCTCTCTCTCTCTCTCTCTCCACTCTCCCTCTCTCTCTCTTCCTTTCTTTCATTCTATCTCTTTCTCTCTCAACCACCATTGAATGGCCGATATTAGTGATGTTGAGACTGAGAGTATGAGTAGCAGAAAAGAAAAGACAGTTACCAAGGGTGAAAGAAAGTTGTCCTACATTTACAAATATCAGCCCTCATTCCAATAATATTTTATTTCTTTTCAAATAGCTTTCTATATATGCTCTCCCTATATTAGTTTGTTTCAGCTCTTCTAAAAGCTGTCTATGTAGTTAGAAGACTGTTGTGTTTTCTACATTTATCCACTACAAACCTCATAGACTTCTAAGTTCTAATTCCCTCCCCCAAATTTGACTTGACATTTGGAGAGTGTATTCAACTGGTTAATTAGTTAGTCTTGTTCAGTACAATCGAGCTAATTAAATTTGTAATTCTGTTCATTAAATCGTAACCTAGTTAGATCTCTTCATTCATCACAGCTCACAATCTAATAAGCATTGTATTCTAACTCAGTACATGTAGCTCAAAAGCTGCGTTTTCACTGTACTTGTATTCTGGAAAACTTGTGTGTCGGAGAAGCTGTCTTCTGAAAAATCTGTCTTCTGGAGAAAAAAAATGTACTGACATACTAGCCAGAAAGTCTTCCGCTCATTAAGGGTTGGTAAATTTTACCAGTGGGCCAGTTCCATGTACCTTTCATGCTGCAAAATGAAACATTGAAGCAATGAAGCATTGAATATTTGCAATTGGTGAAAGCCATAAATGTTTGGTTTATTAACTTATCCCAGGGCACTGCACATTTGTTTTCAATTTTCTAGCCCAATTAAGGCCGTCTGTCCGACTCATATCAACAAAATTGAATTGTGATATTATAAACTAGTTCCATCTGACTGAATTCTAGAACAACATGCAGCTCAATCTAGTTCATCCATTGAATTTGTTAAGTCATTGATTCATCTTATTTGTCATGGTTCTAATTCATATCGCAGGCTTTTCTCTCGTTGATCGCTCCTGTGCAGCACATTTGTCCAGTTTCCAGCTAGTACAATATCAGCAGTATCGACTTGTGTCTTTATGAACTAGATCCATATATTAATTCCCTGATATCGAAGGGAATTCATTATTTGTATCAACTTCATTTGTTTGATCTTTCAGTCATTCATGTTGATTGTATTGCACCTGAAAGTTTATCTTCTTCCTTCCTTCTCTCATATATCTTTCATATCATCCATTGTGGCAGCAAAATGTTCAAATTTCTAAGCTGAAATATTTGCAATATTGCCTTGTGTTTTAAGAACCTATGAATTCCCTTGTCCTAAGAAATTGGGATTCATTTTGTTTTTAGCAGGTAATTTTTTTTTTTAATTTTTTTTATTTATTCATTCAATCATTGATTCATGTTTTCAGTCTTGCTTGTGAACATTTATCTTCTTTCTCTCTCTATATCCCTTCAATTGCCCATGAGGGCAGCACATTTTTGCAGTTTTTTAGCCATTACACATCGGCTGTATCGATTCATGCTATTATGAACTAGATCTGTCTACCTGTATAAACTCCTGGATACCAAACAGAATTCATTGCTTTAGCCAATATCTACTTGTACTTCAGTACATTTGATTCAACTGTTCAACTGCTCATTCGCTCTTTTATTCATGTGGGTGTCTTGCTCTTAAACATTTATCTTTACCTTTTTTCTCTCTCTCATGCTTCTCAGATCGCTTTTTGTGACAGCGACTGTTTTTTCAAATTTCCTATTTATTACATCTGCAATATTGAGGGTTTTTTCTATGACCTGGTTTCACCTATTAATACATGGTAGGATTTATTATATATATCTGTAAACGATATCCATTCAATCATTCATGCCGTCATGGCTCTGTACATATCCAGATCCTTTTGTCATCTATCCTTCAGAGTGCCCACGATGGCACAACATTTTTCCAATATTCTATCCATTAGAGTATTGAGTCGGGTTTCTATGAACTAGTCCAATCTATGAATTCACAGCTAATGAAAAGGATTTATTATTCATATGTAGCAGGTCTGTCGTTTATTCCCTCATTCAATTATTCATGTTGTCATGGCTCTAAACATCAAATGTACAACTCATCCCCCTTCCTATTCCTTTTCTTTCCTCTCCCTCTATTTATATCCTCTTCTCTCCTTTACCTCCTCCACCATGTGCACCTTTCGTTCCTATCTCTCTCTCTCTCTCTCTCTCTCTCCTTCTCTCTCTCTCTCTCTCTCTCTCTCTCCCTCTCTCTCTCTCTATCTCTCCCCTCCCTCTCTGTCTCTCTCCCCCTCTCCCCTCTCTCTCTCTTATTACTATTTTTGCTCCTCAATGTAGTCTCGTTACAACATTTTTCTATCTTCTCAATCTTTAAATGTTGACTTCTTTCTTAAGTTTTCCCTATTACTACCGGGTATGTAATTTATACTTGTGCTTTTTTGTTAATGTCATGATCTCGTGTGAATTTATGTACATTATGTGACGTACACACCTAAGCGTTTATCAATTATTTTGTAACTACTTTGTATTTTGTTTTATGTGCTGCCAGTGGAGACCAATTTTCTATGTTTTGAATATGGACCAATAAATTATCTATCTATCTATCAATCCCTTCTTTTATTTTCTATCCCTTAGATCGCCCACAATGGCAGGAGGCTTGTTCTCCATCGACAAAACCTATTTTGAGGAGATTGGAACATACGATGCAGGAATGGATGTCTGGGGTGGCGAAAACCTTGAAATTTCATTTAGGGTAAGCTTGACGCCAAATTAAATGTGAACATTTACAACAACCATTAATACATGGATAGGATGAATTACATTTTGCCTATATATGCGAGCCAAAGATTCATCAATGTCTTATGCCCTTTCAAGTTGACTAGTGTCAAATTTGGAGGAGTAGTTTCAATCAGCAAATTTATTTTGGCGGTTACACAAGCAATGTTAATTGATGCAATTTGATATATAATGATTTTTTAGAAACTTGTGATGTGATTTAACCTTTTTTCATTGGAACTCGTTTTACTTTTGATATTTTTTTTAATGCAAGTGGGCATCAGAAAATGATTACAGTAAACAAAAAATGGGATGCAGATCATATATAAAAGAAAAATCAGTTAAAAATGAATACTAATTTGTGTCTTTCTGAACGATCCTAATAAGAATAAGGATTGATTACACGTCTAGCGTCCAGCCAATAAATCAATGCAATTAATTTCACGAGTACCTATCAGACTCTGGGATAAATTGAATTAAAAAAATGAAATGCTGATCAGTCAATCAGATAAGTTTTTAAAGGAAAACATCATTGATAGCTCCTTGTTTGTATGACCCTAATGAAAACACCCTGATCGATTACACATAGATAGAAGCAGGCCAATAAATCAATGTAAATTGATATGATGAGAAGGTATGAGATCCCGGGATTAATTGATTAGGTGCCGCTCCTTCCAAATTGCGTTACCTTGGTAGGTAGCGTTGGGTTACTGTTCTCATTATCCTCGGTCAATTAGAGAAGTAGATCACAGACGAGGGAGGGGTTCACGAAAGAGACGATGAGCATCTAGGGGTGCGTTTATCATCCCTTTTCCGGCCGAGAATCAGCGTTTTCAAATGTGTTTCATGCAAATTTGCATGGTGATAAACGCAAGTACATTTGAAACGTCTTTAGACATGGGTATATTGAAATCCTGAAAAAGTGTGTTTTGAATGTGAGAATGAGCCAGAATCTCGTTTCTGAGAGATGATAAACGCAAAGCTGTTTTGAAAGACACAAACATATTGGACCTTCCCAGGCTAATTTCCGGTGTGCCCTAGTTGACCTCCGAGCAACTCTCTACTTCCCGGGTCAAACGGCGCAAAGCAGTTGCGGAGAGACAAGGCCTTTATTTCAAATCATGACGATCTGAAGGTGGGTTAGATATGTATGTATAGAAACGCTGTTTCTGAGTGGCAAATTATGATAAACGCACCATAGGAAAGGAAATGGGAGCAATCTTACTATGTGGTACAGTGAAACTTGCTTTAGCGGCCACCTGTATAGAAAGACAGTGTCTTCTGTTTTCAGCCACAAGGGTGGTAACTTGTATACTTTACCACAGAGTTAATGCCCTTCTAGCTCTGAACAGATGCTGTGTGTATACAAATCTGCTTTTAATGTTTCTCTTTTTCTAGATAGTACATTCCAGTATGAAAGCAACCTGTTCATAAAGACCACCTGCTGGTGAAGACCACATTTCTTGGATCCCCTGAGCATTCTTTATATACAGATTAATTCCTTGGATAAAATCGAATTGCAAGTCCCTCAGGGAGAGCAGTGTTTAAATAAAACTGATATTGTGATGGGCTATAATATACTGTGGGCAAATATTTTTTGAAAGGTAATGTGAAGAAAGGAATTTTCCCCAAAACAAGGAAGATGTACAGTATTCTGGTATCAATGTGGTATCAATATGGTGACAAGAAATTGCATTATGTTATATACTATGTGAGATTACAAAATACACATTCAGTAATAGGACATTACATAGATGTATATCATATGATATGATACTTATTTTTTCTACTTGTTTTTACACTCTGAAATATAATAATACTGGCAACTGAACATCAAAACTCATCTTTATGCCATTCCTTCTGAAGTTGATAGCAAAGTCTTTATTTTATATTAGGATGGAAAGCAGTTTAGCTCTGGACACAAAAAGAGAAGAAAACACCAATGCTCATGATTAAATGAAAAGGGTGGCATATTGGATTGCCTTCGTGATGGGAGAAAAGTGCCCTCCATAGCGCAGACAGCAAACAAGAAATGCAACCGAATCTTGTTTGAGGATGCTGTTGAACGTGACAGTCTTCTAAAGCTCGCGAACAGCCCACGACCGAGGCGAGCAGTCGAGTCGAAGCGCGGATATTGTGTATCAAGAGCAGCGGTTGCGCTCGATTGGCACGGAGGCTCCAGGGAAAGTAATAGGGCATCCTGGAGGGAAAAAATGGGTTTGTTTGCGATCAAGTGTCAAATAGTGTTTGCGCAGAACGTATGAACTTTCCTGCCTTGAGCCTTGTTCAAGCTTGATACAGGAAACCACGTTTAGAAATGCCACAGCAAGAAATCAAATGACATCTTGTGTAGTGAGCTTCATATTTCTGTATCTAATGTAACGTATGTGCCCTATGGGGGCGTTTGTTTCTCACAGCTCCCTTTTTACATCCTCTGTGACCCTCACCTACACATCAAATGGTTTTCATTTTGTTACAGGATTTGTTTTTTTGTAGGGAGTTTAAGGGGTGGTGTAGTTTACTGTGTGATGTTAGAACAAGGCCTGAGAGAGTGAAAAGTAATTTTGAAAGTGATGAAATTGGCAAGGCTTCTGTTACTTCTCATGTGATACGGTGACGCAAGTGTTGACTAGATACACATGTACAGAAGTATATAAACAAATTAAAAAATATAAGCCAGGGCAGGTCATCTGTAGACAGAAAGAGAAAATGGAGAAAAGTGATGCCGATCAAGAGTAAGAAATCAGAGGTGAACAACAAACAGATTTGTAAATGCAAAATTGTTATAAAGTCTTTTGAAAAGTCAATCAGATTTATTTGTAATAATTACGTAGAGAAAGAGAGAGGGGGGGGGGAGAGGGGTCGTGTACATGTGTGTGGGAGAGGTAGCCCTGAAAATCCATTTATTCCTTACTGCCGCATTTGTGTAATCATGTGATCTTGGTGAATGAGAGAGGGAGAGAGACAGACAGCCACAGACAGACAGACAGAAAGAAAGAAAGAAACATTCTCAGTAAATCTTTCCATACAATACATCCCTGAAGAACAATAAGGTGTAACAGATCTGACACAAGAGAAGCAAACATTTGTTGTAGAGAAAACCAACCCCAAGTAGGTCAAGACTATGTTGCCATGGATACAAAGCCTTAAGATGCTGAAGCTTCGGCAAAGAGCATGGTGATATTCCCTTGTCAGAGGGAGTAATAGAGAGCATAAGGGAAGCAAGGAGAAGTTTAAATAAACCAAACGCAAGGATTAATGACTGTGGTTCCGAAAGCTACTTTTTCTGATTATTTGAAAATGTAACACAAAACTGGATTTTTCCCTGGTGCTCTCATGGAAAGTCACTCAGAGATAAAAGTTTGTTCAAACATTTCTTCAAGATGTTAACTTTGAAAAACGCTCGGAGAGGTTTACAATTTCAATTCTTTTTCAACCTTAAAAACAATTGCCATCCTTTATCTTTTGATACTGTAGTTGTTGTTATTGGCTGCTTCATTTACTATCAAAACTTTTTGTTGTGATTAACAGTTTCTATGATTGACATACGGGGTGTGGGTGGGGATAAGGGGAGGGCATGACTTTAATAAATAGCTAATATATTATTGGTACAAATAGATGAGTTATATGAAATTTCCACTACAGTATTTGTAACTATTACATTTTAAATGTAGGAATGATTTTCATTAAATTTCAATTTAAAAGATATTAATACAGAAATCAGCTTACCATGCATTTCATGTAAAATAAAATCGTAATTATTTAATTATTCATTTTTATCATGGAGTGCAGCAGCATTCACATCAGATCTATAACAAAAAAATCACTGAAATAAACTCCAGTTTGCCAGTTATATATGGTTTTCACTATGAGAAGCAAAATCTCATCAATTCCTGACAGGAATTAATCCCGTGAAATGCTAGAGCGTCGTAATGGCAGCCATGCTAAAGCTGGGTAATCATTTCCAAAGCTCTTTGGAAGCGCATAGATGCGTTAGAATGTGATATGTCCTATACAAGAACCAAATATTAATATTAGTATCAATTTTTTGTCTTGTGGACATCTACTTGTACTTAGAATGAATTACATGTGTGTTGTGTTGTGAAAATGCCTCGTTGATATTAGTTTATTTTCTTTTTTCCCCTCAGGACAAATCCACACTCATTTGTGTTATTTTATTTTGCTACAGGGTCGTTTACATATGACACAGTTAACCTTAGTAAAAAAAAAAAATCATAGTAACATAAGTTCACATTTCTGTATCTTCTAAGTCACATACTTAGTATATGTAGGTCCTTTGTTCTGCACAGCTACTTTTTACATATAAGAAGAAAACAAAAACAGTGGCAGTGTCCTACAATATATGTGAACAAACCTTTAATGATTTTTATTCTTTCTTTTCTTTTTGTCTTAGATATGGATGTGTGGAGGAACCTTAGAGATCGTCACTTGCTCACATGTTGGTCATGTCTTCAGAAAGTCCACACCATACACGTTCCCGGGCGGGACGGGGCGGATCATCAATCGGAATAACCAGAGATTAGCTGAAGTCTGGATGGATGATTTTAGACATTTCTATTACAGAATATCACCAGGTAAATATCCTACATTTCAGATGCAGTCTGTTAAAGCCCCACTGTCCTACTTGTAGCTACTTGCTCCCTCTATATAGAAAACTTCCCCAATCAGTGCCTGTTGGTCCCCCATGATCCTCTTTTTCTTACGTTAGTTGAGAGCTGAGTTAATGAGATAGCCACCTGTCAGTGACCTCACTGTGTGGTCTAATCCCTTGTGGCCCAGTAGTATTGACAGTCTTTAAGAGCCAGAAGGGTATTAATTAAATACTTAATTAATTAATTACTGCTCAACAAATTATTTTCTCTTTGTCATTAGTTTACAAACTGTTATTTTTCTGTTAGCATTTTGAGTGTCACACACACAGAACTTTACTAATACAATGTCATGTAAATGTTGTCTTTTTATGAATAGAGCTTTTGTAATGGAGAAAAGCTTAATTAAAGTCATTAAAACAGATTATAAAAACATCTGCAATCAGGCTTCAACCTAAAAAAAATCATCCAGAAAAGAAAGGATTGTGAATGCTGTCAGTTGCAAGCCGTTTAGGGCCTAGAGTCACTCGACAATTGGAGTTGACACGAGTGATGTCGTCTAAGGTTGCATGTCCATTTGTCAGAGCGAGGGATGTTGTTTCGAGAGACATCATTACCAGGCACTTTGCATGATTTGATTGTGCATTTGTGGTGGTTTGGGAGGCGATTTGAGGCGGATGAGGTTTCACATCTATTTGCGTGTTTGCATTTTACTCTTTATCTCCGACTCTGTCTCAATCTCACTCCTTTTCTATCTCAAGCTTTGTTGTCTAACTCTCTCTCTCTCTCTCTCTCTCTCTCTTTCTATATGTTTACCCCTCTGTCTGTCATTCTCTCTCTCTCTTTCTCTACACTAACCTCTCCCAAAGTAAACTTTCTCCTGCCAACTTTTAATTTCTCCACCTCTGCAGTTTACATCACTCTAATCAGTTGGTGGCATAAGTTCTTCTGTGATTCATTTATTTTCCTATCCCATTCACTCTCACTCATTATCTCTCTCTCTCTCTCTCCCCCCCTCCCCCCCCCCTCTCTCTCTCTCTCTCTCTCTCTCTCTCTCTCTCTCTCTCATTCTCTCTCCCTATCTGTCTATCTCTTTCTCTCTCCCTATCTGTCTATCTATCTGTCTGTTCCATTCGCAATCTTCATCTCTTCATGTCTCTCCTATCCACAGACATTTCTTGGTTCTTCTGTTCTTCCCTTCTCTGTCTTTCTTTTATCTCAATCTTCTTGATTCCACCCCCTCTCACTACATACACCCTCTTGTATCTCTGTCAATCTCAGTCTTGCCCTACATCGATGTTTCTTATCAAACACTCTTTCTCTGTCATTCTCGATCTGCATCTTCATGTCTCCCCTCTCTCCCTCTCGGTGTCCTTGTGTCTTTATTTTTCTCTCTCTCTCTCTCTCTCTCTCTCTTTTTCTCTCTTAGTCACTGCCTCTGTCTGTCTCTCATTCTTCATCTTCATGCCTCGTCTCTCTCTTTCTGTGTCCTTGTGTTTTTATATTTCTTCCATTTTCTCTCTCTCTCTCTCTCTCTCTGTCAGTCTGTTTCTCTCTCCCCCCCCCCCCCCCACCGGACCCCCCTCTCTCTCTCTCTCTCTCTCTGTCAGTCTGTTTCTCTCCCCCCCCCCCCCCCACCGACTCCCCCCTATCTCTCTCTTTTCATCCTTCTCTCCCCCCCCCCACCGACTCCCCCCCCCCCTCTCTCTCTCTCTCTCTGTCAGTCTGTTTCTCTCCCCCCCCCCCTCTCTCTCTCTCTCTCTCTTTTCATCCTTCTCCCCCCCCCCCCCCCCCGACTCCCCCCCCCCCCTCTCTCTCTCTCTCTGTCAGTCTGTTTCTCTCCCCCCCCCCTCTCTCTCTCTGTCAGTCTGTTTCGCTCTCCCCGGCCCCCCCCCCCCCCCCCCCCCCCCCCCCCCCCCCCCCCTCTCTCTCTCTCTCTCTCTCTCTCTCTCTCTCTTTTTCATCCTTCTCTCCCCCTGTTTGTCTCTACTTTCCACTGTCATTCTCAATTTGAAAGTGTCCTTACGTCTCCTCTCCTGGAGTAAGAGCTACTATCAAAAGTGTTATGAAGAGATAGGTAACGCACTTCACACAGTGTAAAAATCATTCAATGTCGTGACCAATTGTCAGTGCCCATTATTCTCCCAATGGCACTGCTTGTATGAAGCCAGCTAGACTGGAAGGTAAAATTGTCATACCCTCGCTGTCTGTGCCTAGGCATGTATTCATGGTTGAGCCTCATTCACACATAGATGGAGAACCAACTTTATCCAAATCAAATGACATTGGCGTAGTGCACTGGGCTTCACATTTGTGTATCTTCAAATACATACATATGGATGCTACCTGTAACATAGTCAATGCTATGGGGGTCTTGGTTTCGCACAGTTACACATACACAGGGCTTCACACTCGCTTTCTAATGTTTATCTGACATTTCCCCGGGTGACTATATTGCCTCGGGCCTTGTTTTACTAATAAACATACGGTTTGGGTTAAAATGCAATTTCTTTTTAGGTCAAATTTAAGGTTATGTTTAGGTATAGGGTTTAAGTTGGAACATTTTCCTGGGAGCATTTGTTGCCAGGGCATGTGTCATAGAACTATTTTCACAGGAGATCCATTGGACATTTGTAGGGTCTGTATGCATTGACCCCAGGCTTGCTTAAATTTTGAAAAAAATTGGGTTCGGATATAAAAGGGGAGAGGGGCATGGGCACTGATAGTGTCAAGCCCTGAATGACACATAAGAGAGTTTGTTTGTTTTTTGGTGCAGGTGGTTATTTGAGGGGATTATGTGAACGAGGCATCAGCGAACATTGAAAATCAGAAGGAGCACATACCCTGAGAATTCCTACACCGCAAGAGAGCTCACCGTTAGCTCTTAATTACCGCAAAATGAAATTAGATTGAAGTAGATTGCTTCTCTACAAGCCCAAATAGCTCCCTATTTTGCCTCAGTAGCAAAGGAACGTGCCTCTGCATATTTCACATGAAGTAAATTACAAGGCTTGAGCATGGATGGAGTGCACATGTAGGTCTCTACTTGAAGCTGATTAGGCGGTGTGTTCATACATATTAAAACTTAAACTTGATCTAAGCTATGATGAAGATGCCAATTTTGAGTCGCTTGCTTTTCATGTGACTCTGAATGACGGTCTACTTGGACATGGTAGCCAGGGAGCGTGTGTTTGCATTCACATGAAGCATGTTAAAAGGCCTGAGCATGGACGGAGTGCAGCAGGTCTCTTCTTGAAGCCGATTGGGCGGTGTGTTCATACTTGCACCTGATCTAAACTACAGTTTGAAGTATCTTGCTCTTTATGTGACTCTGTCTATTTGGACAAAGTTGCCAGGGAGCGTGTGTTTGCACATTTCACATGAAGAACATTATGAGCTCTGAGTATGGACATAGGATAAATAGAGCCTTGCTCAAGATGAAGCTTGTTCAGGTGCCTGCTCTTAATTAAATTTAAGCTTGATCGAAGCAACAATTTAGATTGAAGTTAAATGTTTATTCAATTGTTCATTGTTTATCAATGGAAAAAAAATGATATTTGAATGAACAATTTTTAATTTTCAGACTTGCACGCAATGTAACACAGCCTTATTCACACCCAAGTTGATGTGTAAACTCAGGTTTATTAATCAGTGAAAAAAATACACGGGGGCTCGGGCGAATTAGCCCCCAAAATGCATAAAAGAGCCCCGCAATATCAGAAAAGAGCCCCTGTAAATTTGCATAGATTTCAATCCAAAACAAATGTTAGAATGTTATTTCCATGCAGGCAAGCTTGAAAAGTAGCCTCCGAAAAATAAATATGAATTTTTTCCCTGTTATTAATAGTATATCTGCCTGATGTGAACGGAGCGTTATGTTAACATTCAAGGGTGCCGCTCAGAGGAGTCGACCATCCCCAACCCCAGATACTTGGAATTGAAAGCTAGCCTGACGGCAATGACAGCTCTAAGAAGTGTGCTCTTTGGTGTTACCTTCCCCTTCAATCGTCCGAATCAATTTGATTGTGGAAAACAGATAGGAGGAAGACAGAAGATTGCACTCTTGACTCTCCTATAAATAGATAGAAGTAGGGTCAGGTGAGGTGGCGGCTCAGGTCGACGGTTATGGTGTCCTTAAAGCTTGAAATTCGTGTTCACACACCTTCTCAAAACTCATACCACAATTGTGCTTTCAAACACGTTGTGTGCTTATAGATAAGTCACAAAAAGTTAGTCATGAATATAACATAGCTGTTAATCATTCCTACTTTGGAGGAATGATTCCTATGTTTGGTCCCCAAGCTATTGTTATGACACCTAGAATCCTCTCTTCTTCTGAAAACTTCTGTGTATAAATTATACAAAATAGAAAGTCACTATACCGGTATTCTTAATTTTTCTGTGAGAGATACCCAATTTTTGCTAAGAAAGGCTGGCAGGTATGATATAACGGACCAATTACCAACATATATTCTGCTCCATAGTTTTGGGGTTCCATCCCATTACACAACGTTAAAAATACCAGCTGCTAATAAACGTGGCTTCTGTAAAAAAAATTATTGCAAGTTTACAATACTGAAATTCACTCCAAATAAAGGCAACTAATGTGGGAATAGATGCACTTGTGCTCATTTGCACAGAAATTAACTTTGACTTAGCCTCCAAAATCGAAGTAAACTACGACGGACACCTTATTTTGAAGTACACTCTCCCCTTAATTTTTTTGACCTTTGACCATTTTAACATCTCATTAGTTTGGGGGATGACTACTTTTAACATTATACAATTTTACTTTTTTGTGGTCTGCATCTTTAAAGGCAGGCTTTACTACTTCAGCCAGAAGGGATTAGACCACCAAGCGAGCCAGCGAAGTCACTGTGACAGGTGGCTATCTCATTAACTCAGCTCTCATTTAACATAAGAAAAATAGGATCATGGGGGACCAACAGGCACCGATTTGGGAAGTTTTCTATTTAGAGGGAGCAAGTAGCTACAAGTAGGACAGTGTGCCTTTAAGATTAATGGCTTTTATTTTCAAAAAATTGAGAAAGACTTTCAAGTAAACAATAACAAACATGTCTGTAGGATGCATTAACCTATACAAAAAATAATGTCATTTTGAATATTACATTTTTACAATAATACAAAGGGACAAGGGACGTGTAAGCCTTGAAATGAATGCTTTATTTAGCATACCACTTCAATGGAACATCCAACCTTGTTTATTTTCCCAGTACAGTCCAAAAGGACCCTTGAATCTGTTTCTCAACTGAGGTTCTTGATTGATTTCACTGCAGCCGATACCTGAGAAGTGTTTTTCAGCTCGTTTATTTTGATGGATCTTTTCTTGCGGTTGTCTCCCGGACTCTCCCCCCTTGCTCATTCAGACTACCAAAATTCATCTATACATGCCACAAGACGAAAAGCGTATGAATAGCTATGTGATAGAGGTGTTGTGGTCTAGTGGATACGTCACTGGACGGTGGATTACATGGTTCCCGGTTCAAGTCCCGCTGTGGCATTCATGTCCTTTCGCAAGAAATAAATCTACATTTGCCATTCTCCACCCAGGTAGGAAGAAATTCCTTGAATGCTTGAGCACCTTTTCATGGTAGCTTGGTTAAAGCCGGGGTAATGACGTGATTTCAGGGCCCTAAGGGAGAACATTATGAATACTGATGAGGCTACCCTGGGAAAACAAGACATATTATTATTATTATTAATTTTTAGATTATCAATGTTTCTTGTCTGAACATCAAATAACAAAACATTGGTAAAGTGTAACAGCAGTTTCAGTATCGATTAGAACAAAGTCGATAACAAATCAGGGTCCCATTCTCATCTGAATGTTGTATTGTACGAAAATCGTAAAACTGGGCGAAGATTATTGTCAGCGTGTATTGATGATTGACCAGTGGTCATGTTGACTGACCCCTACCTTAAAAAACTAGTTTCTTTGCACAATGAGTATGTAATGTTATACCCATTTTCATGTTTGTATGCCCCTTCTGCTATTCAATGATACCTTACATGACATTCCTTTATAAAAGTTTTGTATACAATTTTCTTTAGTCTAAAAGGACTATTAGTCTTTGAAGTCCAAAGAACGAACAACCAGGGCACTCTTGAACAGCTTGGGCATTGGGTTTCAAAATCGATTGGAAATGAGATGTGTATGTCCTTGTTTGTGCTGTGAAGAAGAAAGATGTGTTCCAACTTCGACCGATGCTTCATCATTTGTTGAAGTCCAATGAATTAATGACCGCTCTTGAAACTTTGTGATCAAATGTAAACGAGATGTGTATGTTGAGAGTGGCATTGTTCTTGTTTGTGCTGTGAAGAATAGTGTGTTTTGACTTTCAACTGCTTTATATCATTTATTACATTCATGGTTATGTTCAAGGCACTTTATCTATAGTCTACAGATATAGACTTGTTTAATTGTCCTTGATGGGGTAAAGTTGTTAGGGAGAGGTGTGTTTTGGGATGAAATACCCAGGGTACATGTAGTTGTCATAGTACGGTATATCCTGCATCAGGAACAGCACCTTGTACAGCCCAGTTTATGAATTATTCAGACCCCTTGTAAATGTATTTTTGTGGGTGTTTTTTAGTAACTAAAGAATGAAAGGTGGACTGGTTAAAAGGCCTTTGAAAAATATTTATAGATGTCACATTCTAAAGAAACACAAATTAGGACAAATCTTTTTTTCACATACTTAAAAATTACAAAACTTGGTAAGAGTATGAATAATATAGTTGTTAACTGTATGTCATTATTGATTTTACTGCATTCAATGTGATTTCCACTTTACATATGATGGTTTGTGTTAAGCCTCGGTCACAAATGCCATTACGAACTGCTACGAACGCCGTACCAACGATTTTCAGACAATGGAAATTTGGGAAGACAATGGAAAAACAGGGAGATTCGTACAAAATTATCGTTCATACGAACCGTTGTGACCGTAGCATTAGGGGAGGTGCATGCTTCTAAGTGATGTTTAAAAATCAACTTTATTTTCTCCTGTTCAAATTGACATATTCTCATTCAATTTCATGTTTTTCTCAAGGGCTTTTGACTATAACTCACAAATTAATCTAAGACAATCCAAGCTTCGAGAGTTGGAACAGTCGCGCACCCTAAGAGCGTCCCGTTAGATCTACATGTTCAAGTGTGTCAATATGTACTCATCATCTGTCAACTTTAAATAGATTTGGAAGGGAAAGCAAGTGTGCCGTGTTCAGGCATGTAGTGCATGGAGATGTATCCTATGTGCATTAGGGTTTAAAGGCAAGGATGGAGTTCTAGTTTTGGTGAAAACGTTTTTTTTCAAGCTTTCTCCTTAATATTCCTTTAATAGTGGAAGAATATCGCCTGTTCAGAGCCAGAAGGGGGCTAACTGTATAAAATTGTATGAGTTGATGGCTCCAAACAGACAATATCATAGTAGCAATGCCACATGAATGAGAATGTCCTTTATTTCAAATATCATTGTATTCTTATTGGAACTAGTACTAGTTTAAAGCTTTACATCGACAAATCTAATTACCGGTAATATAGTAGTTTTTTCTTTCTAAATAAAGTCTTATCGATGATTTTGAAATGATTTGGTAAGGTTGGTAAATCAGCAAAAATTAATAACATGGAACCCTTCCCTATTAAAGAAAAAATATAAGACATGAAAATAATTGTTTATTTGTGACATATTACAAACTGACATGTGGCACTCTCGGTAGACAGTATTCAATAACCCAGCTGAACTTCTATTAAATTTTAACTGTTTTGTTTTCTGTGTGAAAGTCATTTTTCAATTCCTACATCTTTTTATTACTTTTTAAACTATTACATTCATACAATTATATATTTTTAGACTTAAAAAAGAGAGAGTATCTTTAAGGACGCTTCGCATGAAATAACCAACTCCAGACAGAGTTATATTTGAAATGTAGATCATGTCAGTACAAGGGTGAAATTTGATGATTAGTATTGAAGACATGTTACCAAGGTAGTGACATGTCTGTCTATATGCTCAGGCAATTGCAAACTGAATCATGGACTGAGCAAGTATTACAGAGATGAAATGTACCATTGAAGGCAATTGTTCACATTAGGCGCGTCTTCATCATCTCGAGATTGCCAAATAGCCCGCTATTTCTGATTTGGGAAATAATCCCAAAGTTACAAATCGCGTCTTCATCAGCTCGAGATTCCACCTCGATACTTGAAACTCGACCTTGAGAAATTAACTCGAAATATTTTGCTCAGCGTTCGCGCATAGTGCGAGTCTTCGGTCCGGTGAAGACGTACCTGACAAATAGCTGGATATTTTGCAAACTATCCCAAGATATCTAGGGATGACAATCCCAACCAAATATCCCGCTAATTGCAACTTCGGGCTGATGAAGACGCAAATTAGCTGGATAGTTTGCGATCGGAATAGTTCAAATAGCGGGATATTTGGCAATCTCGAGCTAGTGAAGACAGGCCTATTGTTGCCTGGTCAACATGCACTAGTCTACAAGCACAGTCTCTAATTTGACATTTCAACACAATTCCTATATAGTACAGAGCCATATGTAGTCTCATAGTGCAGACACTGATACACAGAGAAACTGACAAATCTACACATGCACAGGCAGGGTCTTGTGCACAGCCTGATTTGATGTATGGAAAGCCACATGTGTACATTTTGTTCCACTACATATTATGGGGGTTTCGTATTTCCCCTGGAACTTTCCATTTCCACTAACTGTTTTAGTACATCTTAATCTATATATAGATATACACTGATGAGGGGATAAATGTATTATTAGATGATATGTGCATTTCTTAATCTTTATTAGTTTATTCGGTCTAATCAACTCTGATTTTACTTGCCATGTGTTTGTTTGGCTTAGCTTTGAATTTAATTGAATTGAATTGAAATCTGATAAAGTTTATTTGGTTTTTTTCTTCTTTTTCTTTTAGGTGTGAGGAAAACAGAATTTGGTGACGTTAGCCAAAGGAAAAAGCTCCGAGATAGATTAAAGTGTCACACGTTTGAGTGGTACCTAGAAAATATATATCCAGAGTCCCAGTTCAGATTGGACTTTAAAACTATAGGAGAGGTATGTATTTGTGTGCAGAGTGAGTAGAATAACCATATCATTCATTTATACATCTCTTTAAGCCAAACAGCATTAATTCCTTGTTTCTTTCCCCCCCCCCCCCCCTCCCCTCTTTTTGTTGGTCCTTTGGCTAAATTTCTATTTCTAAAATTTACATTTCTTTCCCATCATATGCTTATGTGTTCATTAAACCATATTTAGATTCAAACAAGAGAATGTGTTGAAATACATTAAAATGGTCTGAACACCATGAGCAAAACAAACAGCTTTTTTTTTTAAATCTAGAATTTATCTCTTTCCCCATCATCTCCATATTTTCAAATTTCATTTTGTCTACATATTCCGTAGTTTTGCTTTTAACAAGAATTGAAAATACATGTGACACCATAAAACAGACAAAATCACCATGTACACTGTACTTCTTGGCCTATAAACTTCAACAAGGTTTTTGTGTAGGTTTTCTTGTTCTTATGTTTCTTGCCTGTTTTCTCATCTGGCTCTTCTCTCCCTCCCCCCCCCCCCCCCCCCCCCACTCTCTGTGTTGTTGGCGGTGCTGTTTTTAGTCCCCTCATTATCTTGTTTTCTCCTTTAGTTTTTACATTTGTATTTTCCCCCTATCATATCCATATTTTAAAATTCATTTTGTCTATATATTCTTTTCATGATTTAGATTTGTTTTTAAAAAGGATTGAAAACACATGTGCTTTACAACATTTTAACAACTTGACCTTCAAAAGCACCATGTACACATGTACCTCGAGGTCTATAAAACGTCAACATGGGTTTTTGAAGTACCCTAGAGCTTCAGCGCATAAAGGGAGTAGGTAGAATCGGTCTTTGACTGTTTGAGTGGGGATAGTGTTTCATTGCTCCAGTGCGAGATGTCACTGAGGTTAGTGTCTGTGTGAGGCACTTGATGATTGCTGGGGGCTCGTATATACGGACGGTTTTATGGGGTAGTGGATCGTTATTGGACGGTACGTGCAAGGTTTAAAGGGACTTGGTAACATTGTTCAGATGAGAGAAAATGTGGCTAAGGAAGTGACTTCAATGTTATATGTACAATTAAAGATAATCTGACAGTTTGGGTGAAAACAGACCATTGTTAACGATACAAATTGGGGAAAAAATGACCTGATCGATTACTTGATTTTCCCAACTGTATTATTACAATTTATTAATTACATTTTAGGTGAATGAAAATCGTCTCAAAGCAATGAATTGGCTCTATATACCATTTCAGACATTTAAGTGTTGAAAGATTTTTTAAAGCCTGCTTTAAGTCTTATTTTCATGGAAAATATTTTGGAAAATTCAAAAATGGTTGGGAGAATTTACTGTAAGAGGGTGTCGCACAGTGACGCCTTCAAATAGAACCATAAATATCTTTGTGGTTTGATAATTTTTTCCGAAAATTTTTGCATGTTAGAGGGTGATCAGTAGAAGGAATATAAAGAGTAACATTTCATTAAAAAATTACAGTTTTTTCATCAACCTTCAAAATTTTGTTACCGAGTCACAAAAGAGAGAGAGAGAGAGGTAGGGTTGTAAAATACTCATAACTTGTATATACTTGGATATAGAGTCAGGAGGGCAGAGGGGTGAAGGGAGGGGGGGGGGGGCGATTCCTGGAGTTACATAGATGTGGTTTTTTGAAGCTCATAGGGTCCAGGTATGTGGTAGGCATAGGAGAGAGTTTAGAGCCAGACGTGCACTTATTGTGTAAAACGGTTATAACAAAATAAAAATAAACTACAAACTAGAAACTAAATTGACAATTAAAAACAAATTTGAAATGAAAAAACATCGAAAAGATGGGTAATTCAGGATTTTAGGCAGTTTACTACTTATGTGAATGAGGCTTTAGGGTAGGCAATGGTCAACACGAAAATCAAATCGTAAATAAAGGCATTTCTGGTTCAAGTATGAACAGGACCTTTGAAGTAGCTTGCGGTAATGATCTTATTTCAAGATCGGCGTTCCATCAAAACACAAAGAAATGTAATCGAGAATGTCAATCTCCCAATGAAGGAGAATAGTCTAGTTAAGATAATGGTAATAGGTAACTGAGCTTCTCTGGCAGCAGCAGCCAGGTTTGGTGTAAAGTGTTGCCAATTTAAAGCTATTTAAGATGCTGAAGAGTGTAAATCAAGACCGGAAGAGATGTAGTTATACGGCTCTTTGTGTATCGGTCGCATTCTTGACATAAATCCCAAGACTTTTCAAGGTTCCACAAGAAAGGCAATAGATTCATACTGTGCGAACAAATTTTTGTGATGTTATAATTCTCCTCCCCCTTATATTTATTTCTGTGCAGATTGATGATGTAGCTAATTATACTAACATTGGTTACATGTTCAATATGATATCACTTTTTGTAATATTTCTCATCCTTTTCATCTTTTCTCCTCTGCAGATTCGTAATATAGAGACTCACAAGTGCCTAGATAATATGGGGAGGAAGGAGAACGAGAAAGTGGGCATCTTTTCTTGCCACGGCCAAGGCGGCAACCAGGTTAGTAACAGAAGGTTGCTAAGGGATACACACCCAGCAGGTGTACATTTTCTGAGAATATGCAGTTTCAAGTTTAGACTTTTCTTTGACTCTATTTCACTTTAGATTTTAGTCCTTACTTAATGCATATTAACAATCACACATGTAGGATATCAATTCTAGATATGACTTTTGTTTAATCCTTTCATTATGAGACTAATAGACTGGAGGATTTAACCGAAATGTCCTGTGCCCAGCAGAAGGACGGCTAGCAGATGCACACATCTTGAAACCTTCATTCAGAAGAAGAATCAAAATTCTTTGGCTACATCTACATTATACACAAACCATAAAAAGGGTGTATCTTACTGAGCGGCGAATGCTTACGAACGTTGCGAATTTGGATTTGCCAATTTTTTTGATGAATGTTGGTGAAAATCATGGTTAGTCTCGGCGACATTTAATGACAATTAGCAACATTTGAGCGAATGTTTGCGAAAATATTTGCGAAAGGCAGTTGGCGACTATAAGCCACTGTAAGCAAATGTTAGTGACAGTTTTTGCAAAGATTAGCACTTATTTACCAATCCTTTGCCACTGTTTGTGAATGTTTGGGACCTTTTGCTAACTCCTGGTACTCAATGGGTCGATATTATATAGGAACCATATGGTCACGTGGCTGCTAGCATTGGCTAATCAAAAAGAACTTACAGCAACACCGTCTTACAACAATTTGCAAAGGCTTACAACTGTTTTGCAAACGCTTGCAACTGTTTGTGGAAAATTCGCAAAGAAATTGTCAACATGTTAAAAATTTCTTTGCGACAATGAAACTGTTTGCGAACTTTCATGCAACCTTTTACGAACCCTGGGGAAACCCCAAATTTGCTACGTTCGCAAGCATTCACTTCTCAGTGAGATCATACACCCTTTAAATAGTCTAAATTGTCAACAATGGTAGATTATTACTTCTGTATATTGTCTCCTTGTCCCTTTGCTACAAAAAAAACCCCAGAATGTTACTAAATGAAGTGATCATTCCCTTATGATGATATGATATTCTTGTGGGTGGGCCAGGATAAAACAAAATAATACAAAACTGGGATAAATCAGAGCAATTTCAATTTTGTGGTCTTGTTTCCAGGTACAATCTCTTTGCTCGTAGCTCTCACCCAAAAAGACATTGAGTGCATGGTTAAGATATTAAAGTCTGGTCCAATTATCTTCCTGCCTGAAAAAAAAAAGATGTTGGATCCCTTTCTGTCATTTTATGAGGAGGGATACTGTCTGCTCCTTGATTTTTATGGGTACAGTTATTGTATTTTGTTTGTGTCTAGGACCTTCATTTTATGTCCCCAACCGACAGATGTTTCCCAGCCCCAAACCGTTAACTTCTGAACTCTCAATCTTTAATTCAAAGGGTTTTAAAAGCACTTGTAAACTAATAATGAACACACATTGATTTAGGGGCAGTATGTCAAATCTAAATGGTAGTCTTGTAAAACCAGATTTACCTGACGTTGCAGTAACTATCCTTGTCTTCGAAAACTACGAACATTAGGACATATGTAATTCATATATGATTTCTCATATTTTTTAGATTACCCGACAAAGTTGAGGCTCGTTCAGATATCTTGGCAAATTTTTACAACGTATATGAATTCCATTTGTGCGTAACAATGGTCCAGGCTTATTCACTGAGCTCTGAGTTATTACATACAGAAACGTAAAGCGCATTACACTTACGTCTTCATTTTTGAATGAGGCTTTCCTTGCCAATAACCATGCTAGTATCTGAATGCTCATGTATCTAGTAGTTTTGTATGATTATGTCTCATTGTGTTTCATTAATGTACTTTTGTGTATTACAGTTGATATGCTTTGTACTCATGTTGTTTATATTTGCCTGCAGCCAGTTACAGTACCCATGGAGCTAATACGCTTCTATAATACAGCGGTAAACAAATATACCTGCAACGAAAGACTCTTCTGAAATGAATGAATAGTAGCGCATGTTTAGTTGCATAGAAAGAAGTGCATGAGGTCTGTTTGGAGCCAGAAGGGCATTAACCCCTATAATGAAACAGGAAGCTAATGCCCTGAATCAATGATGTAATGAAATAGTACAGGAACTGAATGTGATGAAAAAAAATGGGCATATATTCAGGTGAAATGTATATGGTAGCATGCATGACTAATTTACTCTCATTTTAAAATGGCAATTTCTGTAAATTTGCGGGCACGTAGCATGAAAACTTGGAATGATCTGGTGGTAATTAAAAAATAATTCTGAATGTCATCAGGCAGATAATTGTAGTTGTTATATCTCCCTGTTGCTGATGTGGAATAATTTTTGTTATAGCATCGGATCATGCAGTTTGATCCCTTTGGAAAATTGTTTGAATCTACATGAAGGTGTGTTTTTTTAATAAAAAAAGAGAAAATTAAAAATTTTATGGAAAATGTTCTTGCAATATATGCTACTATCGACCAAAATACAGAGCAAAAGTTTTCAGCATTATAATGTCTTGTTTAGCTAAGAATGAAACGGGCAATGGTGATGGGCTGCCAGTAGTCTTATTCTCACAGATGTTTAAGTGAATTTCTGAAGAGATACAGTGTATGGATGATCAATTTTGTTACATCTGTCTTTCTATTAGTAATCCAAAAATATTCCAGCAACTGTAGCTGTTTAAGTGATGCATCTTTCAACACTAGTGCAACGTGCAAGTGAATCCTGGAAAAGTGTTTTTCCGCATAGGGAAGAGATACATGAAATGATAAATCTGCTACATACCGTAGATGTACACTGTAAAGTGCATGTAACATCAACAGTGCATCGACCATCTTTGAAACTTTAGCATTTTCTGGCTTGGTTGTCTGCATGTCTTCTCCGAAATTCCTTATTTTTCTTAATGCATCATTTCTACTATTTCCTGGTGACTTTACAAAGTTCTGAGAAATTAAATAAGAGTAAAATCATGTATGGATTTTAAAAATTACTCATAGGCTAGTTTGCAAAGTATGTTTACAATATGCTGGAGTTTGACTGTGACTAGCAGTAATGTCAATTTTGAGTTACATAGTTGCATGTTTCCCATGGGACATTGACCTTGTTCAGCTAGAACTCTGTTACATAACTGCTAAAACTTTCACATTAGCTGAACTTACACAATTTTGACTTTGACTTTGAATTTGAATTTGTAATCTTTTTTATCAGCAGAACTTTGCCCTTGACCAGCTTTATGAAACATGAATGTCAAGATAATGTAATTTCATTCAATCATTTTGATAAGGACCTCTACTGATATTACCATTCCCAGAACTTTGAATTCTCTCTACATCAACCCAAAAAAAGGTTGAATGAGGATTCAGGTTTACCACACAGTTATACAATAACATCACCAAGATTCTACCCCTCTATTTACACTAATAATAATACCCGCTGTTTTTAGCTATTGTAAGGAGGGAGGGGCATATAAAAGGGGAAGAAAAGTAAGAGATGTACATGTATGTATAACCATGATTTTTTTTTGTCTTTCCCAATGTTTCTCTCCAGATATTTGCCCTCACCAAACAGAATGAGATCAAGCACGATGATCTATGTCTAGATGCCTCAGCTAACTCTCATTATAAAGACGTTGTGATGATTAAATGTCATGGAAAACATGGCAACCAGGAGTGGCTTTACAAAGAAGATGTAAGTTGTTTATTACCAGAAACTGATGAACAGCAAAATATTTGATTATGCCAGTGCAAAAATGATTGTAAATAAATGAAAATTGTAATTTTACGTCAGGTAAAACGTAGTCAATTTCTTAGACAGGCATTCAACAGGGATAAACAACCAGTTTATATAGCAATGAAAAGTCCAATTACATTAGTCCAGTCCTAAGAGGCATCAGCCACACAAGAAATCATCCATTAACTGATTTTTTTTTCCTTCAAAAAAGACAAAAACTTCAGCATATAATGATCTTAATACAATCTGAAAATGGAGAAATAAAATTATTACAAGTATGGGCTGTACATCTTGTGCCTTTTCTGTTTCCAAGAAGCAAATATAGGGATTCTCCCTTTTTATTTCCTAAGATGAAATCCATACGTACTGTAGACCTATGGGTGTTGAACTGCATCTCAACTCATGATTGATTTCATGTACAGAGTATTGTGCTTACATAGGAACATTCATTAGAAATGAATGTCACATGCAAATCCTTTTTTGCTCAGGGTTCATGAAAAATGTAGAAAATGGAATTGAATATCTGGGATTAACATAGTGTGCTGTAGTAGGCATTAATGGAATGGGTATGGTTTATTCCAAAATCTACTTCCCTTTTTGATTGTTTTTCAAATTTGCTGCAAACTCATGCAATATACAACACAAGCAAGTACACCCGTAACAACAAATTAAATATTTCAACTTTTACAAAGTTATGCAAAAATTGCAAGTCTTAAAGCAGTAACAGAGTTGGCAATGGAGTTGGCATTCTGTGATAATTTATTGATATGTACTAAAGGAGTTAGAATATTTCAGTGATTTTTCGAAAGGATGTACATGTAATCAAATTTGTTGGGTACTGTATTAAATGCAGTAACTGCATATGCATTCATTTTATAGCTGCTGAACATCACTTAAAGGGATAATTTCAAACTTCTCTCAAAATGCGTGGAAAAAATCCATTACATTACAAGCTTTTTATTGTTGAAGGTTAGCAGGTATGCACTTATATTTGTGGTTCTTTTTATGATAAAGTTGTAAGAATTTTGTTAACAAACTTTTCATCTTCTTTTTTTCTCACAGGCCAAAACTTTTGTCCACAGTCCCAGTGGTCTGTGTTTAGAGAAAGCTAGCGGCGGCAAGGACACGCCTACCGTAGCCAAATGCAACGGGTCATCAGGGCAAAAGTGGGACTTGATTGACATCTCCATGACATCAGGACGGTAGCCAGGCCCACTTTCAGCTCCTGGAATGAGTTGAACGAACTCTCTTGCCTTCGAGGAACAATCTAATGTCTGATTACTCCAATGACTACAGAAACCAAGTGATGTTTGTACTAAGCCTATGGAAATAAGAGAACACAGTGGTCCATAGGTTAATATGATTCCTATCGATAAAATCCGCCCACCCAAATCTCGAGGAGATGTTGTTTTTTTTTCTTCTTTCTTTCTCAGGTTAGATTTGAGGAAAGTAAGAGAGAGTAACTAAAAAATCTACCATGTAGATTACTGAAGCTCAGTTACTACATGTACATCAGATGGTAAATGAAATGAAGGGAGAGTCTTGAAATGTTAGCTTTAATCGCTGGTTATGTCAGCTCTCTGAATGGTTCGATTATCTATCACTGTCCATGGTTTTTTTATGCCAATTTCATTACCGTCTTTAGCTCTTCAATATTTTAATGATCATTGTCTTCACAACCATGTTTGATTACTTTTCGGCCTATTTTCATCATCATCATTATCAATTTTGATCATTGCCAACATCAGTGACATACCAATGTTATGTTTTCCAACGTTGTTTGTCATGAGCAACATCGTTCCACCGCCACTATCATCATCCTCTTGCTTTATCATCTGAATACCACTACTTGGAAATGGGGAAGCTGAATCTTAGAGAATGATGGTGAAAAGGCAATGAAAATCTGCAACATATGCAGTTGAAGTATCTCTGTTTGATTCAGCAAAGATGGCATCGATGGTATCTTCATCTCTTAAGGGCCCTGCTTCATCTACCGGTAACCTGTTATCAATATAGAAGATATAATGATTTATGTCATCTTCTGGAATCATTGCATTTCATTGGCCATTGGTTGAATATGTTTTAGAATTGTCGCAGCTGTCATTGATGAAACTGATGAAACGGACCAGAAGTAGAGCAAGTGACAGAATCTAAGACGACGAGCACTGCATCAGCACTATCACACTAGATGATGTGTCAAGCAAACTTGTCAACTTGCATCATGCATCATGAATGTCAAACATTGCAAATGAGCAACTCCATTCTATTAATAGTCTGTTACTTGTATTTTATGATTCAGCAAAGACATTAAGGATGGCATTGACACTCAAGAAACAAGCAACAGAATCTTAAAGAGAAGGTTGAGTTCTGGGAAGAGGTGAAAAATTATTTGTGAGCGTTATCATTGTTATTATGCAAGGGTGGAAGAACATCAGATAAAACATGTTCCCTGAAAAGCATGACTCTTCAAATGCCTTCATATTCTAAATATGTCATGTAACATCGTAAAAATCAGGACGGATTTTTACGCCACGTGTTCGTGTAGTCCCATATACATCCTTCTGTGTACGGTGCTTGTAACTTTACCAAGACTTGGCCAAATTTCTTATCATTTTGATGATTCTAGAACCTTGCAATACACACGCATACTTGTATATGACAGATGATCAACCTTTTCTGATCGATTCCACACCGTTTCCTTCACAATGCAATCGCATGGCCGGAACTCAACTTTCTCTTTAAGACAGCAAGCACTGCATCAAGCTATCACGCCCGATGACAAGCCTCCCTTTGCGAGATACCAAGATGGGTTTATAAAGAGCAGCAAAGCAAACACAGGCCATCTTAATTGGACCATTGGAGTGTGCCCACCGAGTCTGAAGTCAAAATCAAATATTAACCATCTCTTTTCCCTCCAACACTTCTCTCCTCTCCATTCAACGTAAGGAATGGAAAAGTCAATTAACGCCAAAGCAATCATCATCTTTGACGTCCGTAGAATGATCCGTCGATGGAAAACAGGAGAAATTATTCAATATTGGACGAAGGTATCGATACAGTCATAAGTCACTAGAAGTGGGAAATGTATTTTTGTCTGCATTATTAACATTTTACCTAGGATGGATGATGACCAGTAAAACGTACTCCAATAAAATTCCCCTCCTTTTTTATTGAAGGGGGGGGGGGGGATGATGGGGAATGAGTTGTACCAATTGCCTTGTTGGAAAGACACCAATTAGAAATACAGAGCAGGATATTATTGAGAGTCGACTGAAATGGATGTATGAAATCACCATCACCATAGCAGGAAATGAAAGTCTAGTACACGTCATGGAGGGCTCGTTTGCGGATTCCATATTATAGGATTTTATGTATAGTCGTGTGTGTGATTTTGAAAGAGGAAAAGTGATGATCCAAATGATTACCACTTAATGTACCTATGCAGCAGCAATCATAAATGTGATTTTTAAAATTTGAAAAAAAAGTTAAAGGATTTCATCTTATTTTTATGTTTAATTTATGTTACTAGGTTCTTTCGTTAGGTTAGCCAATTTAATTATGACTTCGCGTGAGATTTGTGTTGTTCGTGGTTTAAAGGTAATACAAAGTTTTGGTATGGGGTCATGAATTTGGTTCAAATGAACATATTGGAAGCATATGCAATCCCACAATATTCAGTGATCGTTGTCACAGTTGAAATTGAGTCTAAAGTTGTGAAACTGTAAATAATAAACTCTTTATACTGTTAGCTCCCTCTCCAGGTCAATATATTAATTAAGCCATAAAACAATGTTTCTTAACTAAAGTCGGCCGATTGGCTATTTCCGTTTGAAAATTATATTTCACAACTACATATTCCGAGATTTTCATGGTCGCAGCTACAGTTGTATGGGTGTATAAAGCGCTATTTGAAATTTTTCAAAATTTACCAGGAGCACCGGTAAATTTTTATATTCAATTTTACTTGAAAGCAGAATTGTTTTAGGGGCTAAATTTTTCTAGTGCTTATAATACATCTACAGGGGCATCCTAATATATAAAAATTGTAAAGAATCACTATCCAGCCAATTTTCAAAATTTCCCAAAACTTTGTATTACCTTTAAGGTGTAAGAGACTATTCTTTGAATGATTTATTTGTTGATAGTAGTGGACTTGATTTACAGGTTGAAGACAGTTCTTTATGCTTTAATGAAGAGAGCTTTAGACACTGTTAACTTTTGTTTTCATGTTTTGTTATTGTAGCCATAGGCAATCTGAAGTGTTTTAGTTTTAGTTCATATAGTCGTGTTTCTACTGTAAGCAAAATCAATCTGCAACACTTTACAAAACTAGAGGAAATTTCAACGAAACTTCAAAACACCAATGTAAATGTACCCCTTATATTTTTTATTAGGACATTATGTACAAAATTATAAAACATATACACTATGTACGTATGACACCGTTTTGTTGTTTTTTGTTTGCTTGTTTCATTTATGTTTAATGATTTTATGGAGAATATGCCTTTGTCTGTCTTAGGTTGTAAAAAAGAAAAAGGAAATTGTCTTATCTGAGTCTGCATATGTTTTTGTTTAAAGGAAACTTTTTTTTTTGTAGCAAAAGCTGGTTATTAAAGTTGCCTTCATTAAATGAGGTAATATAATTATTGTGTCAGTGGTGAAAGGGAATTTTGCAATGAGCTTAAAATGTATTTGCTGCACATAGAATGGGCATCCCAATTTAGCGGTTGAAAGCTTTAGGCTACAACAAGGTGCAGTGAAATACAGAGTGTTTACTCATCTCACCTACCAGTAGATTGGTATAGATTAGATAGATGGGAGAGCTCTTCAGAAATATATTGGCATAAAATGTTTAAAAATTTACTAATTGACCCTGTGTGTGGTAAAGGTATGACTTTGGGTTTTTTTCAGACCAACAGATATGTTTCAAATCAGATTATTTACATAATCATTGAGAAATATATTGGCATATACTGTTAAAAAAAAAAATACTGATTGACCATGTGTGTGGTAAATGGATGACTTTGGGTTTTTACCGACCAACAGGTTTGTTTCAAATCAGATTATTTACGTCCCCAGGGACCGAACTTTGAGGTCACGATCTGAAAGTGGCAACTCAGCTTCAAATTTGGTTCCCTCCAAGTGAAAGTGTTGGTGAAGACAGAAAGCTGAGCATACCACTGAAAGTCCCCTACACCAACCCACATCTCATACACATCCTCAGGCTTAACCTTGTTCAAATCTGATATAATTATACCCATGCAACTATATGACAACCTGTACTTGAAACTATGTATTGAGACACTATTCATATAGTGCCAAGATACAGGTTTATGTAAAAAAGCCTTGAAGTAAAATCAAGTACTGCAGTATCCCTTGTAAAGAGGAGAAATTATGATTCCATGTTAAACTTAAGCCTTGTGATATTGCATCTCTTCTTTTACTAAAGGTACTTTACTCTCTTTAATTAAAGTAAGTGTTGAATATATTAAGGTCAAGCTACACTTATATCTCTTTTTATTTTCGAACATGAGCCTTGTAAGATTATATATTTCTTCTTTGCTTCTGGTACTTTACTCTTTATTTAATAATGAGCTCAAGATATATTGTTACTTGGGATTAAATCCTTAAGGTCTAGTTTACATTTTGTGTGTTAAAAAACTGCTGTAAAATGCTAATGCTAAACAAAATGATGTGATTGGCAAGTGAAGTGAAAAGTGGAAGTAGCTACTCTTTAAAAAGGCCCTGTGTGTATTGATACAGAAAAATGGAGTGCGCTAGGTTTGTATCATTTTACTTTCCCTGCCACTTAATTTAAAGCAGATTATCGCATCATCTGTGAACATGTCTTAATATGTGCATGCTTTATGCAAATGAAATCGTTGCCAATGAGTTTAACACAAAGAAATCCTGATTATCCCGCCTGTTTGAAGTAGAGAACGTCAATGATACATCAAATACCTCATATTTGTAGAACTCACAATTTTCATGTAGAAACCTCAATATGTCAACTTTTGTAGTGAACTATCACCAAACTATCACCAAAGTTACAGAGTAAATTTTGTTATGAAATTAAATCAGGTAACATCTAATTGATAATAATTACTGGTTAAGTTATACATATATGTTCCTGTTTCATAGTGTGCTGATTTGAGTTCTCTGATTTGAGCGGTTTTATGTTATTCTGTATTTTCTTGATACTCTTTGTCTGTTAGCCTATTGAAAGCCAAGAAGAAAAAAATTGGGGGTAGTTTTATACATTCTAGCTGTCCATGGTACACAAATCAATTTTAGATGATGGATACACTTTAATGGCACAAATCTAAGAAGGAATATCGTCCCTAAGAAAATGTAGAAGTCTTAGAGAAAATGGGCAATCTGGTTTGCGCTGAATGTGTTATCGTAAATTTAACATGGTGTGCCTTGTAGTACAAATCTATAATTCATAAAATATTAGGCAAAAATTAGTAGAGCTTAGATAAATTAAAAGTACAGAGAATA